AATAATACCTAATTTTACAAAATTAGTTCTATCAATTAAAATTTAACTTTATTAATGTTTATTGTTAATAATGTCGAGGCACTGCTACTTATTCGTGTATTTATGTTGTTACGAGTCATACATTTGAAGTTATCTACTAAATTTTGAACAGTTGTTGTTAGAGAAAATTTGTCTCTACAGCTCCAACTCTCTTTCTTTGTAGTTAACCATAAAGATACACAATGGGCTATCTGTGCTCTGCCCACAACGGGTATCGAATTCCGATTTTAAGCGTTATAAGCTCTTAGACTTACCACTGAGTCACCGGGATCGTTCTCCTGAAGTTATAATGCAACAGTAAAATAGGCCTTACACTTAAGGCACATATTAAATTTGTAACACTAAATAATACTAGTCAACCAAATTTCTAACCATGTTACCAGAGCAACAGTTTTTTTATATATATAATAAATGGATGCGACAAAGAAGCCCACACACAGAAAACCTCAAATAAAATATCTGTTTGTAATGGGAGACCAGTCTGATAGTATTTATTTCAAAAATACAAGAAGCAGTTTACAAGCTGTTGAAATATACTGTGGTTGGGTCCCCGCGTCTAGTTTTCTTAGTATTCAAAAGTGTCTTAGGCATAGAGGATGTCTAACAACAACTCACGGTAGAATTAAGTCCAGATGTTGGAGTAGTCAGTGTAAAGAAAAAATTTCCCATTAAGGAAGAAAAGAACATATGGTGAGTCTCTAAAAAAAATCTGGACGCTTTTATTACTAAATCTATTAAAATACATTTTAATTCTCAGACGAGTTTCATCTAAATATTTAGTCTTAGAAGAAAAATGTTCTTATGTTAGATGTGACGAATAACTTTATTCAAACTGTTTTCAATGCAGTTAAATATCATAAAAAAATATTGAAGTACACATGTAGCACACTTTTAAGTTAGACCACTTAAATTTAGTTATCTTGTTGAAATATTTGTACGAAACTAAAGAATGAAAACCACACTACTGTCTAAATATTAACGTATACATAATCATCTGAGTCGCGGAAGAATATCAATTCAAACTTATAAAAACGTTTGTTTCTTTTAGAATTTTCACGCAAAGTTACATAAGGGCTAGTTGCGCATAACTGTCCCCAATTTTGAACTAATAGACTAGTGGGAATCCCCAATTTTGAACTGGTAGACTAGTAGAAATCCCCAAACACAGAACGCTAACCCTATGACCAATCCAATCCGAATAATGAGATTTAACCGTCACGGATCCAAAGTGCAGCGAGAGACAGTTGTCGCGGCAAACACGTCGTGAAACATGAACCGTCGGATTCACAGACCTGACACTCTACTCTGTATGGCCACGCCCGGCTATGAAAACATGTTAAGGAATACATACTTCTTTTTTTGCATAATAAATGATAACAATAAGTGTGACATTATTTTATGATATTCTTTTAAAGAGCATAAATATAGGCTTAGTTTGTTAATTAAGGGATTCTCTTTTACATAACAATAAATGTCACACTGTTGTACGTTATTCTTTTAAATAACGTTGGTACTAAATGTGTAATAAATGTTCGTTTGTTGTGTCATTTGAAATTAATAATCGTGCGAAATGTTCAAGATTATATTCAATAGTTTGGTTTCATATAGATTTTATAATTACTTTATAATTAAATTAGGTTGTTTATATTCATGTACTGTAGACCTTGTCACTAGTACATGTTGACTGCATCAAGACACGTCTGAAACTCAGCAATGTAGAGAACCCCGTGTAATACCAGGATGAAAAATACAATGCTGAGCTTTGAGTTCACAGACTGAACTGCCCCCCAGTGGCACAGCGGCATGTCTGCGGACTTACAGCGCTAGAATCCGGGTTTCGATACCCGGGGTGGGCAGAGCACAGATAGCCCATTGTGTAGCTTTCTGCTTAATTACAAACCAATAAATAAACAGACTGGACTTGAAAACAGTATTTACTACGTGGTAATAGCTCTGTTTACAATATTTATTTTTTTTAATAATTTGTTAGCACCTTGAACCCACTTTTTAAAATACCTAAAATTCCTTAAAGGTAGTTCGTGAATTTATACGAGTTAAGCAGTCGGAACACTTTCTTAAAATAGTGAATTTCTTGATATGTAGCTGTTGAATTTATACGAGTTAATGACTTGCTTATTAAAGTTGTTACAGTCAATTAAACACTCACGCACTATGACTCCTCATCTCATCAACATGTATCCTAGTATGAACAAGAGATCATTGACATCCGCCGCATCATATCCAACGTTTCGACAGGCATAATACACGCTGTGTAAATAACGAACCTTTATTTTGTGTGAAAATAGTTAAGTCTTTGGTCCAAAAGTCGTATCCGAAAAGAAACTGAAAGAGTTCGGGGTAGTTTAAATGACGTGTGAAATTAGACAATTTTCCTGTTTCTTATTATTATAATACGAGTTTCAAGCACAGGAAATGCTCTCATGGTTGCGTGTGGAGGCTTGAGAAATATAATGCGCTTACGGAATTTACATGAATTGTACATGAGACAGTATACAGCAATTCTATACAAGTACAGCGAGTTTCGCCGAGTGATGTCAGTCAGACTTCTCCTAGCGTGAGAATTTAGCTGGTAATAGTGACCCACATGGGTAAAGTGACCTTCAGGTAAGCTCCCGCCTGAGTACACGGCAAAAAGCCGTTGTTACTCGTGAAAGTTTGTGTCTGAGAACCCGATAACTCCGAACTTGTCTAACGAACTGTTTGCACCGCACGAGACACCACGTACGTGTATAGTTTTGTCACTGTAACTCCGGCACAGCTCCACTTCAAAATACCACCAGTGCGCCAGTTCTTTCCATACTGGACATCATTACGCGTACAGTCGGCTCTAAATTTAGGTGTTAACGCAGAAAGGAAGGGTGTAGATGATAAATCAGTGTATTTAGTGTGAAAATCTTGTACTCATCAGTAAACTACTGAACATCCACGTAAGCACTGACATAAAAACAGATTTCCTGATTATGTTAAGAATTTCCCAGAATTCCTCTACGCTCAAGTGGTATTGGAATGATAGATGTGATACACATCCAATGGAAACTGAGAACACGGAATTTTGGAACACCAGGACTCATGGTAAGTAATTCTTGAAAATTAAGTGTAACTTAAATTATAATTATAACTGTTTGAATATCTAAGTAAATGACTAAAATAATCAGTTAATCACCTAAATGTTTTAACTTTGTTCGACAGAATACTGTATGTAAAAGGATTATCCCGTATACTTAAAAATTACAAAGCCAAAAATCAGGATTATAAAAAGAACGCACCACTGGGTAAACTACGTGTGTTATAATATCGGAATGAACCTAAAACTGCTTTAAATACAATACTTTTCAGGGTTGAGTTTTTGTCTACTTCTAGTGATAGTTCGTTAAGAATAATAAGTATAAGGCAACGTATTATAATGATGTGAATAAAACTGTCAATAGTCACGTTTTGTGAACGATGTGTCTACCGGTAGTTCAACGGTAAGCCTGAGGGATCAGGGCAGATAGCCCATTATACAGCTTGGCGCTTAAGCGAAACAAACACGTTGTGAAAGACGTACGTGCTCGGCTAGCTACACAGCGGCATGTCTGCAGACTTACAACGCTAGAATCTGGGTTTCGATACCCGTGATGGGCAGAGCACAGATAGCCCACTTGTGCTTAACTTCAAACAAACAAAAATAAAAAGGTTTACATATAGATGAGCCATGAAAAGGTGTAAAACCTAACTGTATATTACTACTGGAATACGTTCTGATAAAGCCTAGTCGCCATTGCCTTTTAAACCTTGACGCGAAAATAATTTGGTTGGTTATAGTATGTCACGAAAACAAATAAGATAGAGAATGTGATTCATATCAATTGAGGCAATAATAATATGTCTGGTTTTATCGACAATAAAGTAATACCTCAGGACTTGGTGGAAGCCTTAGTTATGTGTAACTAATAACGAAGCCAATGTTCGCTTGTGTGTAACATGCTGCTTTCGTATTAGCTAACCTATGAGATGTGTGTAAAAATGGCATTGCTAAGGTTTTTAAAACAATTATTGGTATATGTATATATATATATAGAGAGAGAGATTCGCTTAAAGGATTCGCCGTGTTAAAACATTTTGAATTCTTTACTATACGTT